AATACCAGAGCTGAGTCAAGGGAACCAGAAAGCAGAGTAGTCAGGAAAAAGCAGAGTCAATAACAAAATAGCACACAACCAGTAAGAAACGTTCTCTTGAGACACTAGTAAACTAGAAACCACAACAGGGCACTGAAACACTGGCAAAATGTGATTTTATATGTTTGAGGGCGTTATTGATGTAGTCATGCACGCCAAAACGTGAGAGGGTGTCTGTAAATCCCGCTCTCAGTACTGCCCATCCCCTGACGTCGGAACACAATTGCTGTGTCATCAAAAGGGGCGTGCGCACATCAGCCGGCGTTCTGGAGACTGCCAGATCGGGTAGGATGATCGGAGGAGGCGGTCCGCCTGATCGGAGGAACAGCTGATCGGCGGACCGCCAAGGTAAATACAGGATTCCTCACAGATACAAGCTTTCTCACGGCACAAAAATCAACAGGGCAAAGAGGAGCTGATGGTGCACAGTATTTTACAGGAAGTGCGATGTCCGTCAGCATCTCTTAAAGACATAGCTCCAAAAAACATTTAAAGACATATCAGATTTATGACACAGACTGTCTGTTATCAGGATTTCTGCCTTTTCGTTACCTTTTAATTTAGAGCCTGCTGTTATTTTTAACCTATTCTAAGCTGGCCAGTGCAGAATCAAATACTGAAATACATCAAGGATATGTTGGGAACAAACAGAAGTATTTAAAGATAAGACAGGATTACATGGCTTGTTGACTTGTGTTACTGTTATTAATGATTATCCATGATGGAACCTAGACTTGTGCACAGATGCATGTCACCTGTGAGCCATCCAGGATATATCTGTGGAGTTTATTAATGAATAAGACTCCAATGGTAAATCTTCGAGGAATCGAATTGGTCGGGTGCAGATTAAAAGGCATTTGATTTGTTCGGTCCAGCTAAAACATATGTACACAAGCCTTCAACATGACTAGGGAAACCGGGTTAAAAGTTAAAAGGTTAAATAAATACAGTCATGTACCCCATAAGATAACTAAGAGTTCAGCATGGTTCTTGCCCTGGAAGTCCCCCAGGATTAATTTGTGACCCAAAGTCAGCTATGTGTCCAGTTTGCCTTGTTATATCGTATAGGGTCAGAAGTCAGAATTATCGGGAATTCAAAGTAAATGTGAAATTTAATGCCAAAGTAGCTCAATTGGAAAAAATCTTAAAGTCAGCCATGCTCCCAATTCAGCTATTTTTGTCTAAATTCACTTTGAATTCCTTACAATTCTCACCTTAGTTAATGTCCTTGTAAGACATTTCTAAAATTCCCCCCACTTCCCACACACTAGCCCCATATTTAAAACTATTTTTGACTTATGAGATACTGTATGGGGTTCCTTTAGCATCTTATTAACTCCTAAAGTAAAGTTTCTCAGCCTTTTCATTGAAGTGGTAACAACACGTTCCCATCCTCTTCAAAATGTTCACAGAGAGAAGTGTAACTGAGAAGCTATGACGGTTATGAGCTGTACAAGGAGGATGATCATTTCCTGCACAGCTTACTTTATGTTAGAAATGCTTATTTAATGGTATCTCCAGTAAAAATTACCAATTACTCCTTTGTTCCTATTTCTGACTGGCAATGCCATGTTTGGTTGATATTGTTTTTTAGCAAACTTGAACATCGGTCAGAATTATGAATGGAAGACACATAAGTACAAGTAGTGTTTCTGTTTGCATTACAAAGACCAGCCCTCAGCCTCTCCACCCACCTCTGCAACCAAGCGTAATCCATGTGGCCTAGTGCATGTGATTAGTACTACAGTGCCAGCTGAAATATGAAATGAATAGAAGGCATATCTTCATTATCTGCAAATATGTCTCTTATTCATAGTTAGGCCTGTCATTTTATAGTTTAATCTGTACTATATAGTAACAATCACATATTGTGCTCCACCTTCTCTGGCAGAGTGCAGTGATTTTCCCGTAACTTCTTGCTTCTTGGATTTCAACCATCTTTCAAAACAGAAGTTGGTTAAGATCTGAAACAGGATTGATGAGACTAGCAGCCAAGGAGCTGGTAGTCTGTTGAAATTGTCACCAAAAAGACAATTTTAACAATGACAACAATGATAGTCTACTGCATAAACAAGACCTAATGCAAATTACAAAAAGAGAGTGGTTGTACATTTATACAATAGAATTTTTAAACAGTATTTATTATCACCCATCAATAAATTGAAGAGCAACGATGTTCTATAGAACAGATAAACTGACTGCCGTACCATGTTATTGTTACTACTATGAGATTGTATAAATGTAAATGGTTTTAAGACATTTCTGAAATTGGTGGATTCCAAACATTCTCAGTAATCTATTAAATTGTAATAATTTCACCCACCAACAAGCATCTCCTCTTACAATTTTCTGCTATTATATCTTTATTTTCCTCCTTTTACATCTCCTCCCTTTACCATTCCAGAAACTTAAAATAAATGCAGCTTGCACCTGTTTTTTTTAAGCAATATTACAATTTACACACATATAATACATATATACATGTTATTTTGAAGGAACACAACTTTGGAACAGCCACTAAACCTGTGAATGGACTGGCCAATGATCTCTGTATAATGACAAAAATATTTTCTGTATTGCACAAAACACAAATGGATTTTTAAAAATAAACTAATATATATATATATATATATATATATATATATATATATAATTGTGTGTGTGTAAAAAAAACATACAAAATCCCAAGCGTACATATATTAAGACCTAGAAAGCCCTGACTCACGAATTCATCTAAATAAGTAGAACAGCAGGTACATAATATTCATCCTATGCCAGATAAATATAAACCCTGAGTACTGTTTCTGACCATGAAATACTTGCAGTGATTAATAGACGTGTGGTAGGCTTTTATTTTCACTCCAGCATCCTTAGGGGCCCATGTGGTGTGCAATCTACTGTAATGCTTTTTAGAGTTGAACAGGTTCCAGCGTTCGTGTGGGGTTATAAATGGGGGAGCTCCCTCACATGCATCACGCAGAGGGCTGTTTTTTTTCACTTGTCTAAACTGATACAGAGAAGTCCGTCTTCCAGTCAGTCTGATATTCACAGCATTCTCAGAGTTACTACATAGCTTGTTAGTGAAACAGGGCTGGTTCTTCTTAACCAAAGCAGCACTGTTATTCACTAAAGTCCAAATGCATCCAGATCCATCTACGGGCCTTCGAACAGAAAAATTCAGACATTGTTAACATTATTTAACAGTATTCGTATTTTAGAAAACCGAATAAAAATTAGCTAGAATTTTGTCGGTGTTTAAACCTGTCCAGAAGCAACTAAATAGCTGATACCTGGATTTGAATTATTAAATTATGGGCATATATTGTTAAAAGTACTATCAGCCATGGGGAAAATAGAAAAAAAAACTAAACCTTGACAATGAAATGCTCAACTATATGGTGACTGGTCAGCTCTTGGTAGCCAGATGCCACAGTAAAAATTAAAAATTGTAGAGGGAAGGATTACATCCTCCCTTATGTCCACGTCTGCCATGCATCGGGTGTGGCTATATCTTCTAAATGGTGTCGCTCAATCGCTAATACCTCATCCCCTGTCAGTGGGATGAAGTATTAGAATAAGGGCGACCACTTCTCAGTCACTAAAGCTCTATCCCATTGAGATGGGGTCTGTAAGTTAACAGCAGTGACCTGACAGTGGTCCTCCCCTGCTCCCACCCAATGCACATACCATTTGAGCTAAATAGTATTCACAGACCAAGTGTGAAGTGTGCAATAGCAGGCAAAGAGGAGAAGTAGTAAAAAAAAAAAAGTATATTTATATATTTAATACATTTTAATAAACATCTTTGTCACTCCTCCTGTTTTTTTCCTCTATTATTCTCACTTGAGTTGGGAACCAGATAGCAGGAAAATGCTCCTACCAGTGCACATTATATTATGTATATATTTTGAAGTAGACTAGCCTATTATAACACCCTTTTGAGATGTCTGATTCAGTTCCTAAACTGGGCTGAACCAAACCAATATTTAGCTGAGATTTGGCATCCAAAAACATGTTCTTTTTCTTTTCTTTTTTTTTTAGAAAAAAAACAGTTTGGCCAAGACAAATATTCAATTAAATAACCAAGTTAGTTGTATCACAGCTCAAACCTGAGAAGAAGCAGAAGGAATTAGTACATGCATAGTGAGTTAGTACAAGGTAATGTGATCATATTGGTTCAAGCCCCATTAGAGTCAGCTTCAGCACAGTGTGCCCTGGACATCTTAGCTGTCTTTTTGGTCAGGGGGAGGTTTTCATAACAGGTTCACACAGCTTTTCCTGGGGTTCTGCAAAAATTTCGGAAACAAAATTTCGGAAACTCCGGCATCACTAAGAGGCGCGTGAGTGAGCTGAGCAGGAAGATCACTGCTCCATCGACGCCTGCACTGTACACCCGCACGCCAGCCGCTCAGCCCCGGAGCACTAAAGGTAGGGATGCTGGATGCTGGATGGATTGAAATTTTAAAAAAAATTGTGTGTGTGTCTGTTAACGAGTTTGTATGTGTGTTTGTCACTGAGAGTTGTATGTGTGCTTGTCAGTGAGAGTGTATGTGTCACTGTGTGTGTGTGAGTGTGTGTGTGTGTGTGTATATGTCACTATGTGTGAATTGGAGTGTGTGTGTGTGTATGTGCCAGTGTATATCAGTGTGTTTGTATGTGCCTATGTGTGTGTGTATGTCAGTGGGTATATGACGTATGCATGTGTCAATTTGTGTATCTGTGGGTGTAAGTGTGTGCATGTCACTGTGTGTATCTGAGTGTGTGTGTGTATTTGTGAGTCAAGATGTGTGTATGTGTCACTGTGTGCATCTGAGTCAGTGTGTGTATCTGTGTGCCACTATTTGCCAGATTCATACACACTGGCACATACAAACACAGATACACAAACTTTGACAAACAGATACACACACCTTGACACACAGATAGATACATACATACACACAGATACACACTGTGTGTCAAGGTGTGTGTATCTGTGTGTCAGTGTGTGTATCTGTGTGCCACTATGTGCCAGTGTGTGTGTGTATCTGTGTGTCAGATACATACACATAGATACACATTGGCACACAGATGCACACACTGGCACATGCAAACATAGATACATACACCTTGGCACACAGATACACACTGGCACATACAAAAAAAATGGTGCAATTTAATTTTTTTTCACAGGGGGTTGAGGGGTTCCACGATGTTGATACACTTTGTCAAAGGGTTCCACGGGAAAAATTAATTGGGATCCCCTGTCCAAACACATTGCACACAATATTGTTGTCGAACTCTGGTCATACTATATTCCTCATTCAGCAAATAATGGTAGAACCAATGCCTAAATCCTATGTTGTATTTTAGTTCAGTAAATCTTGGAAAATATTAGATGAGTTATCTCATTATCTGTTTCCACACAGCTCCTTGGAGAACTTGGGGAGCACAATTTTAATATATCTGTATCGAATGTGATCATGACAGAGATTAAATACATGGCTAAACAATGGTAGCTGCTGAAGATTGACACAAAAAAAGTATTTGTCAAACTGCATTTCTCAGTACTTTTTTGGCTATTGTCTCATTGACAAATGAAACAAGATGGGCCAAAAACTCAGACTGAGGATAGAGTCAAGGCTCACTGGCACACTAGTGCAGGGGTGGGGCACAGGACCAAGGCAACTTCAATGAGAGAATAAAATTGAGGCAAATCAATTTTCTTTCTTTTTACCTTTATGAGCAGGATGTAGCTGCTATTAGATAGATTTGCTTTTTATATGTTGACTTATTCATTTTAAAGATACACTCTAAGCACCATAACCACCACAGCATTATTGGCGTGTTCCTTTAAATACTTGTTTGTAATCCCAAATATAATCCTAATTATAATAATAGAATTATAAATGATAAATGTAATAGAATACATAATAAGATATTTATTCATTATAGAGTTAAGAATTGCATTCAACCTTTTATATCCCTGAAATCAATGTGTTTGTGGCACACTTGGAGGTGACCACACCAATGTCAAAATGACTGAACTAGTAGAAATATAATGCTTTGGATTATTATTTTAGTTTTTGTTTCATTCTATCATACTGTGAAAAATAATCTACTCTTTATGATATTACACACTATGATAAAACGGAATCAATCCATTATTTTGATTACAGGGATTATTGATAGGAACAGGTAACCTTGGCTTGGGTGGCTCCCTCTAGCAATTTCAAAAGACACAGCTACAGAGTGACAGCAAGCAGCTTGTGCAAGCCAATATTCTAAGGTTTCCACCTGTTCTTATTCGGCCCATGATCATGATACAAAATTTCTATTCAAAATTAAGAGTTGGCCAAACTGAAAGCATAGTTGACTTTGCCCAATTCTGCTATCCTTACCTTGACTTGGAAATACAATTTAGTGAATAAACCTGTATGAACCTACACAGTTCTTGTTCATTATCGCAATGGAGAGACCTAAACTCTTACTGACTCTACAGGAGTTTAATAGTAATCATAAATGTAAATTTTGCAATGTAGTTGTGTATGGCAATGCAATGTACAATATGGCGATTAAAAATGACGTTAACATTGAATTCCTGTTTTTTAAGGAATAAAGTATGTTGGATAGGTAAAATCATATGTGATTTCCTTTGCACTAAAATTAGCTATAATTTCCAGTGACTCCATTTAGTCAAACTTATACTTCAGAGCATAGACAATATAGTTATAATGGTGGAAATGGCTGTGGTAGGATAAAAATACTCTAGTGGATCCCAATTCACAAAATTTCTCGTGTCAAGTTGCTAAAATCCTTTACTTGATTAGCAGGAGCTACAGCGACCGATATAAGAAGGATCTGCAACAAACAAGTAATCATTAGAGACACAACATGTATCCCAACACACACTCATTATTTGTTCATATAATGCCAAAGAACCAGATTTTTTGTTGTTGCAAAAAAGCAAAAACAATACTGGTTGGAGGTCAGGGCCGGTGCAAGAATTTCTGCCGCCCTAGGCAAAAATCAATTTTGCACACTCACTCACTGACAGACACTCACCCACTCACTGACAGACACACACACACTCACTGACATACATACACCCACTCACTGACAAACACAGGCAGACACTCACTGACAGACACAAACACACACACTGACAGTCAAACACTCACAAACTCACTGACACACAGACAGGCAGACACTCATTGACATACATACACTCACTCACTGACAGACACAGACACACTCACTGACAGTCAACAGTCAAACACTCACCTCCCTGGGGTCCAATGTGGGGCAGCTCCTCACTCCTCCCACCCGCTGTTTAGTATGCCGGGGCTAGAATGACATCATATTCCGGCTCCCAACACCACAGTCGGTGCGTGACGGAGGAGTGTGAGGCTACAAGAACAACCTCCCTCACCGCCTGGCTTCTATGTCCCCCTCTCCTCAGGACAGGTCACCGGCATTTTTTGGCAGAGCAGGCACCTGCCATCGAGGTAAGCAGGTGCCTGCTCTGCCTTAACTAGTACAGCTTCGGGGCGCCCTGAGGTGGCAAGATGGTCACCTCTTGGCCCCCTTGTGACAGGGCTACTCTCAGCATCCCCACCTTCGAGTGCCTTGAGGATCGGCCCGGCCCTGGGGGCCGGCTCAAGATAAGCAGGCAGCCCACCAGGAAACATCCCGGTGGGCGTCCCCAGCAGGCGAATACCTAGTTCACCTAAGGGTGGCACCGGCCCTGTTGGGGATGCTTTCTTACCTGCCTATGGACCAGCCTCCACTGACTTTAGGTCAATGGTTCTCAAATACACTCTCAATGATATTCAAAATGTCAAGCGTTCATGGTTGTATTTTCTGGAGATGCCTTTTGTAACATTTTGAAAGTGCTCTGAACACTTTTAAGGAAACACTATATGGTCAGGAACAAAAATGTGTATTCCTGACCTTATAGTGTTAAAACCTCCATTTAGGTGGCTTGCCTCCCCTTCTCCCCTTAAAATGTAAGAAAACTTACCTTGTTTCCTGCTGTCCCCGCCCCCGATCTGCCTTCTTGGCTGACATCATCCAAGGAAAAGCATTGGATTAATTGAGATCATCAAGGAGGTGGAGTGGGGTCGGGGCCAAATGCCTCTTCGGCCAATCTGCATCTCCTCATAGAAATACATTGAATCAAGGCGTCTCTATTGGGGAAGTTCAGCATCTCCATGCAGAGCGTCTCTTGCTTTGGTGCTAGTTGGTGCATCAAATCCTGCAAATATCTATGAGATATCTATCTCCGTGGACAAACATTGGCAGTACAATGGGTCATACAGAATACCTCAGTGACTTTAAACATGCCACTATCATAAGATGCCATCTTTCCCACAAGTACATTTTTGAAATGTATACATATTAGATCTGCCTGGGTCAAATGTAAGTGCTGTTATTGTGAAACTGCCTCTGGGTGCAACATTAGCACAAGATGGGTTTCCATGGCATTAAGATGCACAATGCCAAACATTAGCTGAAGTGATGAGAAGTATGTGCCAGTGTACTCTGGAGCAGTGGAAACATTATATGGAGTTCTGAATCACTCTTCACTGCCTTGCAGTCTGTAAGAAGAATCTTGGTGATGGATTCCATAAGAAGACTACCTACCTAAATGCACAGTGCTACTGTAAAGTTTGCTGGAAGAGGGATAAAGGTCTTGGACTGTTTCTCAGGGTGTGGGCTATGTCTCTTTCTGCAAAGGGTCATCTTTATGCTATTGTATATAAAGACATTTTACAATTGAGTGCTTTCAGCTTTGTGGCATCAGTTTGGGAACAGCCCTGTTCCAGCATGACTGTGCCCCTGTACACAAAGCAAAGTCCATGAAAATATTGTTGGATGAGTTTTTTGTGGAAGAACTCAAGTAGACCTCAACCCAACTGAAAACCTTTGGGATGATTTGGAAAGGAGACTGCGAGCCATATCTTATCATCCAACTTCACAAATACTCTTAGTGCTGAATGGTCTTAAAGTCACAGAGACGCTATCCATAATCTTCTGAAAAGCCTCCGCAATGGACCCATAGGTATGATAATCAGCTGTCCACATACTTTTGGGTGTATAGTGTACAAAAATGTTTTTATTAAATGTGCCAGCTTTGCATCCTACATTTTATTCATATATAAGTGTGTGCAATATTTTACATGTCACAATGACATCTGGCTTCTGTTTTTCTTGATTTGGAGAATGCTGGGTAGTGAATGAGTTAATTACTGTGATTATGTGTAAAAATAACATCCCAGATTATAAGTCTTACAGTTTGGACCCATAAGCTTAGAATTAATTTGCCAGACAATATGTTTTCTGCCACACACGTCTGTATTATTAATACGTAGACAATAGAATTAGATTTGTGAACATGATGTAAACTATGAAACGTTTATGTGGAAACAACGGTTTTGTAAATGGACTAAAGACTAATTAATTGGCAGAACAGAAAAAAGGAAATAGCTGGTAACCTGTATTTATGTCATGTTTCTCTGACAATGTTAAGTAAGGATACTTTAATAGACCACACATTTTTATCAACAGAATTCAAGTGGCATGTTGTGGTTTTTCTATTTATGCCTAGTTCGGTGTGTCCAAATAATTTTGATCTGGAAATTTATACAAATGTTTGTCCAGAGTTATGATAGTTATTCTGTGTATTTAACTGTAAAATGTAATTTTTTTACCTTATCTGTTCACTGCAAAATATTTCCTTTTACGTCTGAACTGGCCGTCAGGCAAATTGGCAAATGTCCGATGGGTTGCAATGGCAGAGGGCTTAGGGGAAGTGAGAGTATCTCACTGGCCGGCTTCTGCAGGGTGAACACTGCCTAAGCACCATCTCAAAAAAAAAAAGTCCGGAGGTGGTAGGGAGCTCAAAGACCTCCCTTACTGACCTGCCCAGTCATACAAAGTGACCTGTACATTTCTGTGGTTACAGCTGGGGGGCTGCTTCTGGTGTTTGGTTATGTGTGGGGTAGGCTACCAGTATGTATTTTACCGAACTTATATTGAGGTGGACGTTCTAGCCATGTTCGCGCCGTCGAGTGCCCGACTTGAGTTCCATACACTTGACGACCAAACACCACTGTAT